GCACCGGCCCTGAAGTCAGGGGGACCTGAGTTCAAATCCGGCCTCAGACCAAACACTTTACACATACTAGCTGTGTGACTTTGGGCAAGTCACTTAACCCCGATTGCCTCACTAAAAAAAAAAAAAAAGTTTTATAGAATTCCCTTGTAAATCCATCTGGCCCTGGAGATTTTTTCCTAGGGAGTTCATCAATGGCTTCTTCAATTTCTTTTTCTGAGATGGGGTTATTTAAGTATTTTACTTCTTCTGTTAATCTGGGCTATTTATATTTTTGTAAATATTCATCCATTTCACTAAGATTGTCAAATTAATTGGTATACAGTTGGGCAAAATAGTTCCTAATTATTGTTTTAATTTCCTCTCCCTTGGTGGTGGATTCACCCTTTTCATTTTTGATACTGGTAATTTAGTTTTCTTCTTTTTTAAAAAAATTAAATTAACCAAAGGTTTATCTGTTTTATTGGTTTTTTCATAAAACCAACTCTTAGTTTTACTTATTAGTTCAATAGTTTTCTTAATTTCAATTTTATTAATCTCTTCTTTGGTTTTCAGTATTTCCAATTTGGTGTTTAGTTGAGGGTTTTTAATTTGTTCTTTTTCTAGTTTTTTTTTAGTTGTATGCCCAATTCATTGATCTCCTCTTTCTCTATTTTATTTATGTAAGGATTTAGAGATATAAAACTTTCTCTAAGAACTGCTTTTGCTGCATTCCATAAGTTTTAGTATGTTACCTCATTATTGTCATTCTTTTGAATGAAGTTATTGATTGTTTCTATGATCTGTTGTTTGACCCATTCATTTTTCAGGATTAGATTATTTAGTTTCCAATTATTTTTTAGTCTATCTTTCCATGGCCCTTTATTACATATAATTTTTATTGCATCATGATGTGAAAAAGATGCATTTAATATTTCTGCCTTTCTGCATTGGATTGTGAGGTTTTTATTCCTTAGTACATGGTCAATTTTTGTGGATATGCCATATACTGCTGAGAAAAAAGTATATTCCTTTCTATCCCCATCCAATTTTCTCCAGAAGTCTACCATACCTAACTTTTCTAAAATTTTATTCACCTCCTTAACTTTTTTCTTACTTATTTTGTGTTTAGATTTATCTAGTTCAGAGAGGGCAAGGTTGAGGTCCCCCACTAGTATAGTTTTGCTGTCTATTTATTCCTGTAACTCCCTGAACCTCTCCTCTAGGAATTTGGATGCTATACTATTTGGTGCATATATGTTTAGTAAAGATATTACTTCATTGTCTATGGTGCCTTTTAGCAAGATGTAGTTTCCTTCCTTATCTCTTTTGATAAGATCTATTTTTGCTTTTGCTTTGTCTGAGATCTGGATTGCTACCCCTGCTTTTTTTACTTCAGCTGAAGCATAATATATTCTACTCCAGGCGGCTTACCTGATGTTGGGCTAGAATCAGCAGCACTGGAACTCTAGGGGTAGGATTGGGTAGTCTATCCCCTGGAGGTTGCCTGCTCACCCTGGCCTTTCCATCCTTTCACTTTCTTTGGCTCCTTTCAGATGGATATTTCGCTGCTGTGGGATGTTTCTCCGCCTGGTGGGGGGAACTCTTGTAGTGCTTCCCAGAGTTTTGCTGAGGCACTGGGAGACTTAATTGCTGTAGAACACCGAGGCATGTGGTGGTTTTTTGAGCTGGTTTCCACTGGTTCCCTGGTCCTTACTGAGGCACTCGGGAGTCCTGCTGTTGGTGTTTGCCTGCTCCACCACTTGGGGTTCAGGATCTCCTCCTGGTACGCTGAGATGGGCTTTCCGCTAGCTTGCTGGGATGCCTCTCGTTCTGTACTGCTCCCCTTCCCCCAGTGTGAGAGGGGCCTTTCCCATTAATCTTTCAAGCTACCTGGGCTACCAGACTACTGCACTCCGTCTTCTGGTTCAGCTGTTCCAGGGTTTTTCCTGGGGTGATATTTTCTGGGCTTTCAGAGATTAATAAGGGATGGTGAGAGCAACTTACTTCTTACTCCACCATCTTGGCTCCTGGAAGCAGAAGTCCACAAAGTGTTTTTTTAAAAAATTGCTTGTGAAATAGGTCATGCAAGTGTTATTACTCCCATTTTATAAACATTTTACACTTTCACTCAAAGAGGTAAAGTAACTTGGCCAGAGTTACACAACCATTAAGAAGCAGAGTTAGGTCATTGTTGTAGTTGTGGTTTAGTTGTTTCAGTCCTGTCTGACTCTTTTTTACTCCATTTGGGGCTTTCTTGGCAGAGATACTAGAGTGGTTTGCCATTTCCTTCTCCAGCTCATTTTACAGATGAGGAAACTGAGGCCAACAGGGTTAAGTGACTTTTACAGCTATAAGTGTCTGAGGCCAGATCTGAACTCAGGAAGATGAGTCTTCCTGACTCTAGACCCAGTGCTCTATCCACTATGGCGCCACTGAGCTGCCCAGCAGGGTCAGGACTCAATCTCCAGACAGTCAATCCAGCTGAGTGGCCACTTCAGCACCTCTGGAGCACAAACTCATTAAAACGATGTTTCCTAAATGCAAGTCTTTGGATCAGAGAAAAATGTTGCCAGTCCACAAAACTTTTACTCCTTGCCTCTTTAAGTTCATGAACTTAAAATTTCATTCTCCTCAGTGTTCTTCTCACAACCATGAAGTTCCTGGTCGCTGTACCTAGAGGTACCCTAGGATCATCATAGATCCAGAGCTAGAAAGATCCACCCAATCCAACCCCTTCATTTTACAGATAGGGAAACTGAGGCCCAGGGAAGTAGAGTGACTTTTCCAACATAGTGACACAGAAGGAAGCACCAGAGATGAGACTGACTCTAGAGCGAGTGATTTTTCTAGTCTACTACAAACTGTACAGAGTGGGGAAGTTCCATAATAGAGAATTTATCTATTTTATTTGTTGAGGGAAACCACACCTTTGTGAGAGATTGCCTCTGATGGTAGTTGATCTGGTGTGGGCTTGAGTTACTGAAGGTCTTCCCCTTCCTTCCTAGTTTCATTATGTACATATTTGAGACTCAGGTCTCTTTCATCTGAAACTGGAGAGCATCTTTCTTTCACACTGGGGATGCTAAATGCAAACCCAAGGAAGTTACCAGCCTAGCTGAGGAGTGGGAGGGGAGAGAGAGAGACAGGGACAGAGACAGAGAAGGGGAGGGAGAAACAGAGACAGACAGAGATGGAGGGGAGGGAGAGAGACAGAAAGAGAGACAGAGGGTGGGGAGAGAGAGCAAGAGAGGGAGAGGGAGAAAGAGACAGACAGACAGACAGAAACAGAGAAACAGAGAGAGACAGGAACAGAGACAGAGACAGAGAGATAGAGGATCTTGAAGAACTCACAAAAGGATAGGCCTATTCTGTCTGTCCTGTCATTTATCATCCCAACCTCACCTGGAACTATCCTTTTCTCTCCTTTTCCCTTATTTTCCTCTCATCTCTCTCTTTCTTTCTTTTATTCCTCATCTGTAAGTTTCTAGACTCTAAATCTCTTAAGATGCCACCAGATTTTGATAGATGCCCTCTCCTTTTTTTAATCTCTCTCCTCTCATCCCCTGACTCTGTTCTCTATTCTGTTCTTTCCATTTGATCTATTTTCTCTAACTGCCTATTAGACATCTTGAACTGGATGTCCTGTAACAGACATCTTAAGCTCAACATGTCCAAAATTAAATTCATTATCTTCCTGGCCTGTCAATTTTATCTTTGAAACACGTCACCGATACCTTCTTTTCTCTGACACTGCCACCACTCTGGGGCAGGCTCCCATCTCCTCATGTCTGGCTTATTCTTGCTAGTTCGTCAGCCTGTCTCGTGTTTCCCCACTCCAATCCACCCTCCTTTCTGCCACAAAAGTGATTTTCCTAAGGTGTAGGTCTGACCATGTCATCCCCCTAACTTAATAAATTCCAGTGATTCCTTATCACTGCCAGGATTAAATACAAAATCCTCTGTTTGGTACTCAAAGCCTTTCATAATTTAGCCTCCTCCTACCTTTTTAGTCTTTTTACGCATTATACTCCCCAAACATCCCACGCACTGGCTCATCATTCCACTGATGCCAGCCTTGTTGCTGGTCCTCCAACACTATGCTCCATCTCAGCTCTGGGCATTTACTCTGCCTGGAATGCTCTACCTCCTCATCTCTGCCTCCTGGTTTTCCTGGCTTCCTTGTAGTCCCAGCTAAAATCACACCATCTACAGGAAGTCTTTTTCAATCCCTCTTAATTCTTGTGCTTTCCCTCTCTTGATTGTTTCCTGTTTATCACACACACACACACACACACACACACACACACACATATACACGTGCCTATGTGTATATACATATCTATATGTGTATGTATATATGTGTGCATGTGTGTATCTCTCTATCTTGTTTTTGTACATATTTGTTTGCTTGTTGTCTGCCTCTTATATTGTAAGTTCCCTGAGGGCAGGGACTATCTTTTGCCTCTTTCTGTATTCCCAGAGTTTAGCCCAGCGTCTGGCACTTAGTGTCGACACCTAATAAATGTTTATTGACTGTTTTCCTCCATTCTTTCCTCTCTTCTTTTTCTCTCATTCTTATTTTCTCCTTTCTGTCCTCTCATCCCTCTTTTCTATAGTTTCCTCCCCCTGGTGTGTGTTCTTGTCTCTGCTCTTTGCTTCTGTTTATCCTTATTTCCCCCTTCCCTCTCTGTTCTCTGATTTCTCCTTTCTGTTCTGTTGTCTGTTTCTTCCTCTCTTGTTCCCGTCACTTTCTTCTTTCCTCTATGTTCTGTTTTTCCCTCTTTCTCTCTTTTTTCTTTTTCCTTTTTTCCCCCTTATTTTTTCTTCCTCTGTTACCTCTGTTACACAGCAGCACCTCACCAGTGTCCGTGCCAATGAATAATGGTAAGCTGTAGAGGTTAGGCCAAAGTAGGTTGGGCCTAATGAAGAGCCCTGGGCTCTTCTTTTAACCAATAGTGATCCAGGGACTGGAGCCTGTGCTGAGAACAGGAACTTATCTCCCCTTCCCTCATCTTTTCCAGGAAAGCAAGCAGACCAAACTGACCTTCAACCACAACGAATTCTTCTTTGAGCAGGTATGGATGGCACAGACCTCTCACAGCCAGAAACCAATTTCTCATCTTTTTTTTTTTGGTAAGGCAAACAGGGTTAAGTGACTTACCCAGGGTCATACAGCTAGTAAGTGTCATGTGTCTGAGGCCGGATTTGAACTCAGGTGCTCCTGACTCCAAGGCTGGAACTTATCCACCGTGCCATCTAGCTGCCCCCAATTTCTTATCTTCATGGTGGGCTACTGGCTAGAGTCCTGACATGTAAGTTAGAAGCTTTCTGGGTTCTAATCCTAGCTATGCCGCTGACTTGCTGTGAAGGCCCTTCCTCTCCCTAGGCCTCAATTTCCTCATCTGTATGATTGGCCCTTTCACCTTTGATGTTCTATAATTCTAGGTTTCACCTTCCCTTCATGACCCAGCTTCTACCGTCACTTCACTGAGGTTGGAGAAGGAGAAAGGAGCTCCTTAATTTCTATGTCAGTTCTCTTTCCCAACTCCTCTCCTTATCTTCCCAAAACCATAAGCTGCTCTCTGAGGGGAAAAAAAAGGGAAGAGGAAAATCACTTCTGTTCTTTCTCTCCACCCCCCACTACAAGCCCTGACAGTTGTTGATTACTAACTTTGTGCTGGGTGTGTGGGGGGGGGAGGATACATGATAGGCTGTGGATGATGACCATGAAGTCTCTTGCCCTCATGAGCCCCTACATCAAGGGTGGGGAACCTGTGGCCTGGAGGCCACATGTGGCCCTCTAGGTCCTCAACTGTGGCCCTTTGACTGAATACAATCTTCACAGAACAAATCCTTTTATTAAGGTGTAATAACCCTGGTAAAAGGTAAAAGGTAAGAACCCTGAGGATGAAGTCTAACAGGGAGCTAAGACTCACACTGTGAGACAGTGGATGAGTGTCCATGCAGTATCAGCGCCACAGGAGGAACCCAAAGGAGAGAGCTCAGAGTGGACTGGAGTGCTCAGGATAGACCTAGAATATAAGATGGGAGGCATTCTAGAACAAAGAATATAGAGTGTTGCACTGAAGTGGACTCTAGAACTCAGAATACGTGGTATAAAAACCTAATAGTACTTCAGAGTCAATAGTGTTCATCAAATTAAGGAGGTAATTGAGATCCTATGATGGGGAAGGGTCTTCAAGTCATGAATTATTAGAGATTATCTATAAAGATGGGGACACAGTCTCACAGCAAGTTAGCGGCAGATGACATGAGTGTTTGAGCTGGGTCCTGATGGGGTGAATAGGATTTAGTTAGAAGCACAGGGGAGGGTGTTGCAGGCATTAAAGGAGAATAGTGTGAGCAAAAACACAGCTTTAGGAATACGTATGAGGAGATGGTGGAGGGATACCCCATCTCTACCTGCTGGAAGGGGCCAGGATACAAGAAATAGGCAGTACTAATGGATGGGAAGGTAAATCAAGTCAGGGAAGGGAAGGTGCTCTCTCAGGCCTGGCTTTGGGTCATGCCACCACTTGGGACTTTTCTTTCTAGGGACACTTCCCTCAAAGAGCTATTCAAATTACTCAGAAGAAGCCAGAGTGGAGAGACGAAAAAGAGGTCCGCAATCTCTGTAATTTTCTGCAGGTGTTGGAAAGCTTCTGGAATTACAGCCCGCAGCTCCAACTGCTGCTGGCCAAAGTCATCCGCTACAAACGGTCAGTGCCAGCTCCAGCTCCAGCCATCTTCTGCTTCTACGGAGGGACGGGCCTGCCAAGAAAGGGACACAGAGTTAGTGTTAAATATTTCCACTTGGGGCAAAACCATTTGGGAGCAGGGAGAACAGCTGGGAGGGAGAGCAATGACATTCAGAGGACAGTTCAGCCACATGGAAAATGGTTGACCCACCCCTTCATCCCTCGGAGGAGTTGGAGTGGTGGTGGCACATACTCTAATGGTGGGACCCTGTGTGTGTGGTCCAGGGGCAGTGATGATGTATGATAGTCTGGGTCAGTAGAGAACTAAAAGGCGTGATGATTCAGGATGTGGGAGGAAGTGTGCCCTTCTCCCACTATGTCAGGGCCCTGGGACAAAGCCCCATTTGCCTAGGTTTATCATGGCTCTGAAAGAAAAAGTTTCCTTAAAGTCAGAGCTGCAAATGCAAAGGGCTGCTTCAGAAAGGGCAATATTCACAAGAAAGGACTAAACCATTTCATCATTGGTTCATAAATCTACGAGGAACTGAGGCCATCTATGAATTCCAACTTCCTCATTTCACATAAGAGAAAACTGAGACTCAAGGAGGTTAAGTGACTCCCTCAAGGTTATACAGGTAGAGAAGGTCAGAGGTTGAATTTGAACCTAGGTTCTGTGCTGCCAAAATCAGGTTTCTTTCCCGTTTCTCAGCATAGTAGAATGCTGGTGTCAAACTCAAACAGAAATGGATCCCTGCATATTGACTTACAAAGCCACCAGGGAACATTATGGTGTGCTGTATTTTTATTTTGTTAAATATTTCCCATCAATATTTTGATCTGGTTCATGTTGCCCTTGAAAGTTTTGCAGCAGCTGTAGAGGGAATTCATCAGGCATGGATTTGGACTGGTGGACCCAGACAATGGCTTTACTCAGAGGTCCCTGGGACCATTTATTTCATGAGATTAAGAGAATGAGACACCAGACTTAATTGGTTATTTGTTCCAGGGTCTCACAGATTGGAACTTTTTAGCCAGGTGACCTCACCTCCCTAAATCTTAATTTCATCAGCCATAAATGGGTATAATATTTGTACTATCCATTTCTAAGGGTTGTTATGAAGAAAATGCTTTTCAAATTTTAAAGTATTATTGTTGTTCAGTCATTTTAGTCACGTCCAATTCTTCCTGACCCTATTTGGGGTTTTCTTGGCAAAGATAATGGAGTGGTCTGCCATTTCCTTCTCTAGCTCATTTTACAGATGAGGGACTGAGACAAACTGGGTTAAGTGACTTGCTCAGGGTAACACATGTGCTAAGTGTCTGAGGCCAGATTTGAACTTGAGTCTTCCTAACTCCAGACTTGGAGCCCTATCCACTGTATAACCTAGCTGCCCTAAAGTGTTATGAAAATGTGTTATTGTAAATATTATTATTATTAATAGATCTAAACTTAATCTCTTAATTCATTCAACGAACGGTTTATTCCATGTTTACCATGTGCAAGGCCGTATACAGAACACCTTTGGGGAGTCAGAAATGGATAAAGAGGACCCGGTTTCTGCTCCTGGCTCTGCCTGTGTGACCTTGGTCCTCCTCTGGGTCTCTGTTTCCTTTCTGTAAAACAAGGAGATTCAACTGGATAGCCTCTGACATGCTTTCTGGCTATAATGCTATCACCTTAGGCTCATAAGACATTTTTTTTTACCTTGCAAGAATTCACAGTCAAGTAGGGGGAATGAGATATCTACTAATCACTATATTACAAGGTTGACTGTGAACAAGCTTGTTGAGTGGTAAAGGCAATGAGTGTTTGAGTAATGCAGAATAGAGAGGGCTCATTTCCAGCCTTGGGCGCTCAGGGAAGATGAGAGAGAGGAGATAACATTTGAATTAGGTCTCTGAGTCATGGAAAATTTCATTCAATTCATTTAAAAAGACATTAAATGCCGACTATGTTAGACAGATCTTTGAGAGGAACCACAGTCAAACAACTAGAGAGTTGGTGTTGGAGCAAGAAAGATCCAGGTTTAAATCCTGTCTCTGACACAGCCTGGCTGTGTGACCTTGGGCAAAGTCACTTGAGCTTTCAGTGCTCTAGAGGTGTCATACATCTGGCCAGAGGCTACATACCCAAGTGTAGCCCAAACCAGATTAAAATGTAATTGGGAAACGTCTTTAACAAAAATACAATAGGACGTAGATAATGTTAATAACTGGTTTTCTAAGTCAAAATGTGCTTAGCAAGGATCTTTATATATGGTATAGTGGCCCCATTTCTTTGGGTTTAACACCACTAATCTAGACAACTCTCTAAGATTGTAAACTGCCAAGAAGGTGCTGATCTCTGTTGGGAGAGGTATTTTCCTCTGCTGGGAGTACTCTATACCAGTGAAATCCCGGGTCCTGTTTCTATCTATGTTAAGTATGTGGATTTAGAACTGGAAAGAATCTTAGAAGTCATTTAGTCCAACTCCCTTATTTTGCAGGTGAGGAAACTGAGGCCCAGTTAAGTGACTTGTTCAAGGTCACACACAGTGTCAGGGGCAAGGCTTGAACCTAGGTCTTCAGTCTCCAAATCTAGCTTTCTTCCCATGGTATCACAGGGCTCCTTATTGTTCAAGGCATTGCACTCAGAAGCAAACACTCACCTTGCATCAAGCCCCATGAACCAATTTAGAAATGGCAGCTTTAGACCTAGCCTAAAAATTCACTAAGCAGTGAGCTCCAGGGCCCCCCAGGCTAAGCAGAAGTAGCACCAGGAGCTGTCCAGGGCTGGGAGAACAATGCCAGAGAGAGGGAAGAAGAGTGTGAATATTTTACTTGACTCTTTCCAGGAGAAGATCTTCCAGATCTCACCATCAGGTTCCAGTCTCCACTGCTCCCCACATGATAGTCTGTATGCTTCTTCTTAGGTTCGGCCGCAGGCGTGTGATCTTTAAGAAGGGGCATAAGGGCAACAGTTTCTACTTCATCTACTTGGGGACAGTTGCTATGACTGCAGATGAAGATGGGAGCAGTGCCTTCCTAGATGCACACCCAGACTTGCTCTACAAGGGCTCATCTTTTGGAGTGAGTTGGTATCCTTCAGCCTCTCCCCTTAAGCCCGGCTGTTTGGTGGGGTTTGTGAGAATGGCATTCCCAGTTCCCCGAAAGGATGATATTCTCGGGAAATAGGCCCAGCTGGAGGGAAGTAAAGCAGGGTTGTGACAGAAAAAGTCCTAGGGCAGGGGTCCTTGGGCCAGCACATAAAGGTTGTGGTCCAGATTTGGCTGCAGGATGTTTACAGGAATTTGGGCTTTTAGAATCTCAGTTTCTCTTTACAATGGAGGCTGGATTAGAGCCACATGTTGCGTGATTCTGATCACTAAAATCTCTAGAAGGAAATTTGGAGGTTATCTGTTCCAACCAATTCATTCGACATTATTAATTTGTTTTACATATAGGAGTTTGAGTGCTATGGTAGAAAATGGATCTAGATCCAAATGACCTAAATTCAAATTCTGCCATTTACTTGTTCTGTGACCCCAGAGAAGCCACTTTATTTCTCTGAACAATAGTTTGTTTATATATATATTATATATATATGTGTATATATATATATAATATATATATATATTTTTTAGGCAATTGGGGTTAAGTGACTTGCCCAGAGTCACACAGCTAGTGTCAAGTGTTTGGTCTGAGGCCAGATTTGCAGGTCCTCCTGACTTCAGGACCAGTGCTCTATCCACAGCCACCTAACTTCCCCTTGAGCAATAGTTTTCACATCTGTAGAAAGAGGATTTTAATTGTTACAATCCCTTCCCTAGGATATGCAGGGACTCCATTCCACTTAAGGCCCTAGAGAAATGTGAGCTATCATGGACCTGACCATGTCACTTTCCTGCTCAAAAATTTTCTTTTACTCACAGTGTAAAGTTAATACTCTCCCACCTCATATTCAAGGACCTCTGTAGTCTGGTACCACCTGGTTTTCCAGTCTTATATTACTCCCTACTCTTTCAAGGATTTGCTTAACCACCCAAACTGGACTACTCTTTGTATTCCAAATGCCACCTCTGGGTCTCTCTCCCTTTTTCCTTTCTTTGCCTCTGTCTCTCTTTGTCTCTCTCTCTCCCCCCTCTTTTCTGTATATCTCTTTCAGTCTCTCTCACCCCCATATATCATTCCCAAATATTGTCATTTTTTTCTCTGCAACGTCTCTTGAAAATATTGGGTTGTTTACTCACAATACACCACCCTAGTAATCATCACTTCTTGCCTGGACCATTAAAACAGTCTCTTAATTGTCCTCTTGACCTCAAGCCATTCTCCATCCAGCTGCCAAAGTGATTTTCCTAAATGGTAAGTAACCACCATCACTCTCTTGCTCTGGAAATTTCAATGACCTCCAGGGTCAAATGTAAATTCCTTTTTTTTTTTTTAATTTATAGCAGTTCACAACCTGTTCTTTTGCTCCCTTTCCAGACTTTGTACATTTTCCTACCATCTACAACACTATGGGGCCTCCTTGCTCTTCCTCTTATATGACATGACATTTCCTGTCCCCCTGTCTCCATACTGGCTGTGTTCCATGCCAGGAGTGCTTTCCTTTCTGACCTTTGACTTTTAGAATCCCTGGTTTCCTCAAACTCAGTTCAAGTACCCCATCTTCCAGGAGATCTTTGGTGGTTCCTCCCTCCACTCCCATTAGCTGCTAGTGTCATAGTGTCTGCAGCTATCCTACATCTGCTCTGTATTCCTCTTATTTATTTATTAATTCATCTTATTTATATATGTTCTTTATTCATCTGATTTAGCTAGGTCATCTCACACATTAGAATATAAGCTCCTTGAGGGCAAGAACAGTTTTTGTTTTTGCTTTTACTTTCCTTTGTATCCCCAGTGCTTAGCACAGTGCCTGGCACATAAAATGTGCTAAATGAATACCTGTTGATCGACTGACTAATCTAGCAAAAGTGTGAAGAATGAATTGCAGTGCAAAGAGGTGGGAGGCAGGAAGAGAGATCTCCTTCTTTTATTCCCCACCTATAGGAGATGGCTTTGTTGACTGGAGCTGAGAGGTTCACCACTGTGGTCTGTATGGAGGACACTGAGTTATTGGTTGTGGACAAGGAGGATTTATTTGGTAATATGGTGGATGAGGAGATGAAGAAGGAATTTCAAACTCGGTTTAATTTCTTCAGGTAAATCAAGCATTGGCTCATTTAGTAGTTACAGAATACTGGCTTTGTGGAAGGCCATGGCTAGACTGTGAGGAAGAATGGGGAGCAGCGAGGAGAATGCTGTATGACCTTGGGCAGTCACTTTCAATTTCCTTATCTGAGGGGAGAAGGGCAGGGCTGCAAGTGGGAGGGGGAATTTAGCTAGAGGGCTGGAGGAAGCACATCTTAGGATGCCAGAAAGCAATTACATTTCAATATAGCTATCAAAAGATTTTTTAAAAACTGAATTTGTGGATCCTAGAGTATGAACTCATAAGTTCTCAAGAAATCCCTTCTAGCTCTAAATTTCTGATCCCATTACAACATGGATCCTGCCCTTGAGGCAAGGTTGATAAGGTCTCTAGTAGAAGAGGCAAGACAGCCAAATATTATCAGACAGCATAGGTTCAAGTACGACCACATGTTACAGATAAGAAGTACTCTAGGATATAGGGAGTTGCAGAGGCCAACGAAGCCTCTACGGAAGAAAGGAATCATCCAGGTAAGAAAAATGGAGGTACAATCATGCCAGGTATATTTTGGTTGGGGGACTGTGAGGAGGTCATGCTAGCTGGAGCTATGGGTTTCAGGGAAGGGGGTGAAATAACTTCCTAACATTATAGAGGGTGATTAGGGTTTTCTGCTTCCTGGAGCCAAGATGGCAGAGTAAGAACAACCAGCTCTCCCAGTGCCTCAGCAAAACTAAAGGAAGCAGTGCTCTAAGGGGCTCCAGGCAGATAAACATCCTGCAACATCCATCTGAAAGGAGCTGAAGAAAGCAAAAGGAAGGAAAGGCCCGGGTGAGCAGGAAATCTCCAGGGGCCATATTACCCAATCCTACCCCTAGAGTTCCAGTGTTGCTGATTCTAGCCTAATCCCAGGTAAGCTGCCAGAATCCTACAGCTTCCAACTGCCAACATCAGAGGCCTCAGCACACAAAGCCAGTGACCAGACCCTAGGCTCCCAACACAAGAAGCTTGGGTAAGTGCCCTGTGCTCCCCAGCAGGAGAGCTCAATCTCTTTAAAGGTCAGGAAATAAGCAAACATCATGAGCAAAAAGAAACGTATGAAAAATTCTTATTATGGGAACAGTGAAAATCAAAGGCAGAAATTCTGAAGAGGACAACATTGTCAACAAACCCACATTCAAAAGGGAATATGAATTGGTCTGAAGCCCAAAAAGCCTTCTTAGAAGAGCTCAGGAAGGATTTTAAAAGTCAAATGAAGAGGTAGAAGAAAAAATGGGAAAAGAAATGAGAGGTATGCAAGAGAAAATCAATAGCTTGCAAAAGTAAGTACAAAAATTAACTGTAGAAAACAAGTCCTTAAAAAATACAATTGGCCAACTGGAAAAAAGTACACTGAAGAAAACAAGTCCCTAAAAAATACAATTGGCCAACTAGAAGAAGTTGAAGAAAACAACTCCTTAAAAAGCATAATTGGCCAAATGGAGAAGGAAGTATAAAATCTAATAGAAGAAAACAATTTGTTAAAAATTAGAATTGGGCAAATGGAAGCTAATGACTCTATGAGAGAGTAAGAATCAGTCAAACAGATACAAAAGAATGAAAAAATAGATGAAAATGTAAAATACCTCATTGGTAAAACAACTGACTTGGAAAATTGATCCAGGAGAGACAGCTTAAAAATTGTTGTTCTACCTGAAAATCACGATAAACAAAAGAGCCTGGGACAGCATCTTTCAGGAAATCATCAAGGAAAACTGCCCTGAGGTCCTAGAACCAGAGGGTAAAATAGCCACAGAAAGCATCCACCAATCACCTCCTGAAAGAGATTCCAAATTGAAAAACGCCAAGGAATATAGTAGCCAAATTCCAAAATTACCAGGTCAAAGAAAAAATCCTGCAAGCAGACAATTTAAATATCATGGAACCACAGCCAGGATTACACAGGACCTTGTAGCTTCTACATTAAAAGATTGTAGAGCATGAAATGTGGTATTCCGTAAGTCAAAGGAGCTTGGATTACAACCAAGTATCAACTACTCAGTGAAAATGAGCATGATCTTTCAGGGGAGGAGATGGATATTCAATGAAATATAGGACTTCCAAACCTTCCTGATAAAAAGACCAGAACTCAACAGAAAATTTGATCTTCAAATACAAGACTCAAGAGAGACATAAAAAGGTAAATGGGATAGAAAGAAACAACATGTTATTAAAAGGGCAAACTGTTTACATCCCTACAAGGGAAGATGACACTTGTAACCCTTGAGAACTGAATTGTTATTACACCTTGTTAAAGAGGTATACATAAAGGAAATGGATATAAGTTGATTTTGATGTAATGATAAAAAAAATCTAATCAAGTGGGTTAAATGGATCCAAGTAAGTGGATTAATCTGATCTAACTAAAGAAATGTACTGAGAGAAAAGGAAAGGAAGAGGCAGACAAGGGTAAATTACATTACAGGAAAAGGCACAAAAACCCATTACAGGGAAAGAAGGGAGGGAGATGATTGGATTTGGCTCAAGGAGGGAATAACATAATCAGTTAGGTATAGAAATTTAACTTGCCCTATATGTAGTAGGAGGGAAAGGGGGGAAAGAAAAGGGAGGGGGAATAGAAGGGAGGGAAGAAGTAGTAAGGGTAAAGGGGAAGAAAAGGGAGGGGGCTAATAGAAGGGAGGCAGGACTGAAGGAGGTGGTGGTCAAAAGCAAAACACTAGTGAGGAGGGAAAAAGGAGAAAAGAGAAAAAAAGCATAAATGGGGGGAAAGGGATGGAGAGAATGATACAGATAGTAATCATAATTGGGAATGTAAATGGGGTGAACTCTCCCATAAAACAGAAGTGGATAGCAGAATGGATTAAAAACCATAATCCTACAATATGTTGTTCACAGGAAACACATTTGAAACAGAGGGTGATTAAACACTAGATCAGATCAAAGGGACAGAACCATGACTAGTATTTTTTTTCACTTGTGGCAAATGCGGGGGAAGGGTACAAGTGGGTTTGAAGATGGGGTGGGGAGTTTAGCTAGGGTGCAGAAGGAAGCATGTTTGAGATGCCAGGAAGTTTTTATGCTGCTGAATGTTCAGCTAAGGTGGGCAAGGATTGGGGGGTGGGTGGGATGGTGATGGATGGTTGGGAGCAAGGCCATGGGAAGGACAATGCTGCTTTTTAGATATTAATACCCTGGGAAAAGCTCTTATTGATCTACCTTAGTTATGTCTCTGGCAGGGAGGGGGATGGGGGTGGGGGAATGGGGGAGACAGGATGTCCCCCAAATCCTTGGCTCAGAAAAATAAATGGCCTTTAATATCCTTTCTCTTCAGGGAGCATTATCTCTTTAAGACATGGTCTTATGAGACCCTCTTAAAAGCGGCAAGTAATTGCAAAGTGGAGAAGTTCTCATATGGGCAGCTGATAGCTCGGAATGTGACGGATTCTGGCTTTATCATGTTTGTCACAGAGGTGAGAGTTGGATACAGAAAGGTCAAGGGTCTAGGGGAGAAAAAGGATGTGGAGGGTGACAGGCCACTTTGAAAGAGGGTGTGTGCTTTAGCACAAAAGAAATCTACATATGAAATACATATATACATACATATATATGTATATGTGTGTGTGTGTATAAAACATGTACATATAGTCTGAAGACTGAGAAACACAGTTCTTGCCATAATCAATTCTCTAATCCACTCACCACAATACCTTTCCTAAATCTCCTCGTCTCTCAAGCCTAGTCATGCTACCTTTAATCCCCATACTCTCTGCTGGGGACCTTAATTCATGCTTTTTACGCCCCCCCCCCCCACCATGAGGCCATTAGATGAGAACTCTCTTTTCTTCCCTTCTCCTAGTGTAACATCTCTCTGAGCCCTCCCCCCCATCTTCTCAACTCCAGCCTCTCACAAAGAAGGGACCCTTTTCCTTGACAAGGTCAACAACTCTTCATGCATGCCCTTGATCCCATCCCCCAAGTCTTCTCTGGCAGATTGTCCCACTATCATTCCCACTCTCTAGTCTTTCATCTTTCCCTATATACTGTCTCCTTTCCTGCTGCCTACAAACACCCCCATGTCTCCCTCATTCTTAGAAAACTCTCGCTTGATCCCACTGTCCCTGCTAGGTATCATTCTGTATTTATTTTCCCAGATAAACTCTCTGGAAAATCTGTACTCAGTGCCCCTACTTCCACTCCTCTCACTCTCTCCTAAACCTTCTGTAGTTTGCTTTTCCACCTCATCATTCAACTGAAACTGTTCTTGCCGAAGTTAACAACTGCCTTATCTAATGACCTTTTCTTCAGTTTTCATCCTTCTTGGCCTTTCTGCAGCATTGCAACCTTCATCACTTTCTCCTACCAGATACTCTTTCTTCTCTGGTCGTCTCTTCTACTTGTCTGACCACTCCTTGTCAGTCTTCTTTGCTGGTTCTTTGTTCTTTATTATATTCTGCGACATCCTTGGTGTCATCTTTAACTCTTTGCTCTCACTATGTATGCACTCAGTTGCCACTTTCCAATCATTTGTTTCTCTACATGCCTCAAATATGTCTTCTCTCTATTCACATAGCTGCCACCCTAGTTCAGGCTCTCATCACTTCTTTCCTGGTCCATTGCAAAGCCTTCCTCATTGGCCTCTGTGATAATTGTGATTTTTATACTATTTGATATCATAGTTATAATGATAGGATTCCAATATGGAGTCTTTCAGGTGAAGTCATCCTAACTGCCTATAAAGTATATAGACAAAGACAGCCAAGGTTGTACTTTTCCACTGCTCTGGTGTTAACCAAGGGTCAAGCAGTTAATGCTCACAGCTTCTAATCAGATAAAATTCCTGACCTATTGCAGCAGTCTGCACAAAAATGGATTGTAAGTTCCTGGAGGGCAAGGATTACTTTGAAAATCTTAAAACAGGGGCAGCTAGGTGGCACAGTGGATGGAGTATCAGCTCTGAGGGACCTGAGTTCAAATCCAGCCTCAGACACTTACTAGCTGTGTGACCCTGGGCAAGTCACTTAACCCTGATTGCCTCCAATAAAAAGAAGATCTTAAAGCATTATGCAAGTTTCAGTTATTATCATCTTCACATTTCTCACAGTTAAGTATAGTAAATTGCACATAGCAAGAGTTTAATGAATGCCTTATGAAGGAATAAATGAAAGTTGAGCAGAAAAAAACTGAAGCTGTGGATTATTGTTGTATTGGTATCATTTATCTTTATAGTCACAACTTAATATTCATAAATCCATTCGTTTTCTAAGACTTCAAGCCCGTAACAAGTCATGTAATCTCACTATTTGCCACTAGATGGTGGTCTTGTTCACACGGGTCAGCACTTAGACACACCTGATTCAATCCTGAGGACTTCTCAAAAATCACCCTTTTGACCCACTTCAAATTTGTCTCGAGGGCATCAGAATTTGACTTGTGGCCAAATTGTCGTCTTTACTACCGAAGGGGAAAAAAATGCTCTGCTCCTATGCAAACACTTAGTCTAAGGAGACAAAGAACATAGGACAGGCTTCATTTCACTCCATAGAAAATACAAAAAGCCAAGTAGTCTGGTAAATAGTCAAAGAAACTCTCCTTTTCTAGTGAGACCTTCCTCTCTAGGGATCTAGCCTATTCTAGACTTGAGGCAACACTGGACATATCTTGCATAACCAGTAGGTAGAAATATTAAGAATTGTTAGAGAATCAAGCAACTCTTTTATCTGACAATTCCCACCTTCCCAGTTCTTTAGGTTTACAGTAACACTTCCTCCCCCCCTCCCCCCGGGCCCTTCCTTATATCCCAGACATGCGTATTCTATATAATTCACAGTAACACTAAATGGTGAGGTGAAAGTGTTCCCTCCACACCATTGCTCTGTTTCATAATAATAATAATAATAATAATAATAACAATAACAAAAATTAAATAGCCTTTACTATGTTCCAGGCACTGTGCTAAATACAATAACTTACAATTATTATTTCATTCAATCCTCACAAAAGCCCTTCCAGACAGGTGCTATTATTATCCTCATTTTATAGATGAGGAAATGAGGCAAACAGAGATGAAGTGACTTGCCTAGGGTCACACAGCAAGTAATTGTCTGGGGTCTGATTAGAACACAGGTCTTCCTGACTCCAGGCCCAGAGGTCTATCCACCGTGGCCACCTGGCTTGTTTTGGCTTCTACTGTCTCTTAATCTTGGAAGCTGGGGTGGTCTAGGAACTCTATATGGTGTGAACACTCTTCTCTCCCACCATTTCTGGGGCTGAGGGGTGCCCTGAAGGTGCTGTGTTCCTATTCTCTCTTATGCTTTTTTCTCCAACAGCTCTCTCTTCTCTGTGTCTTCTGGTCCTACTTTTAAGGGTGTCGTTTAGATTTTAATTTCATCAGCCATGAGGGAGTGAAGGAGTGTTTCAGCTTGGAGATAGTACCGAGGTGGACTTAATTTGGAAATATTCAGGATAAAATTAATCCACAAAGAATTGTCAAGAGAATTTTGCACCTTTTTCAAGACATCTTCGATTCCATTAATGGGAAAAGGGAATATGTTGCAGTTAGGTTTCAAAATAGATAGAATGCCAGACCTGAAGTCAGGGAAACCTGAGTTCAGATCCAACCTCAGACACTTATTAGCTGTGTGAACCTGGGCAGGTCACTTAATCTGTCTGCCTCATTTTCCTTATCCGTACAATGGGGATAATAATAGCACCTACCTGGTAGGGTTACTGTGAGGATCAAATGAGATAATAATTGTGAAGCACTTAGTACAGTGCCTACACATGGTAAGTGTAAAGTGAAGCTATTATTATTATAGATGAAATTTCACCCTTTGAACCCAGGATAATTAATTCCTGGGTACAACCACTAAACTTCCTCCTTTTTTAAGGTAAAACTTTTCAGCTTTTAAAACTTATATCAATCAACCAAAAATACATTTATTTAATCTAAATAAATATTGATTTAATCAACAACCAATTATTAACCACTTACTATGTGCAAGGTTAGGCCCTAAGGCTACAAATGCAATGAATGAAACAATTCTTACTCCAAGAAGCTTACATCCTGAGGCAACTAAAACACACATAAATGTATACTAAGGACTAAATATAAAGAGAATAAATACGAATGAAAGTAAAGTAGTTAAATACAGGGTAACTTGAGAGAGGAGGCAGGAGGGCACTAGTACTTGAGGGGCTTAGGAAAGGCTTCATGTAGAGGTAAGACTTAAGCTGTATCTTGAAGAAAGAGAGTCTCTATGAGGAGGTGGAGGTGAGGAGGGTGTGCATTCCAGGCATGAGGAATAGAGAGTGCAAAGGTGTGGAGATGCGAGATGAACTAGATTGAAGATTAGCAGAGAGGGCGTAATGTCCAAAGAGGCTGGAAATATAGGTTGGGCAAGGTTGTGAAAGGCTTTACAAACTCTTATATTGAGTCTCCCTCCATCTGTTCTCCACATCAGTTGCTTTTCTAAAAAGATGATTCAGATTCTCTTCTATTTTTTCTAGTTTTATTACTTTTTGGTATCTTATAACGTCATTCGATTCTTTTTGCCCAGTTCTAGTTTTCAAGGAGTTATTTTCTTCCTTGAGATTTTGTATGTCTTTTTCCAATTGGTTAACTTTCTTTTCATAATTTTCTTGGATTGCTTTTATTTTTTTCCCTAATTTTTCCTCGATTTCTCTTATTTGATTTTTGAATTCCTTTTTAAGTTCTTCCAGGAGTTCTTTTTGGGCTTGTGACCATTTGACATTACTCCTTGGAGTAGGAGTGGCTTTTTTTTTTTTAACCTCACTATCTTCTTCTGAATATAAACTCAGATCTTCATAGCTATCTATGGTCAGGTTGTTTTACCTTTGCTTACTCATTTTTACTTTTAATTTGTTTTGTTTTATTTTTATCAGCTTATTATTATTATTGAGTTTTAATCCTGAGTTGAGGGTAATGTTGCCCTAGGGCTCAGGTCCTCCTTCCTGCTGTTTTCTGAATTCTGTCTTGGGGCTCAACCTCACGGACTCCTGCCCTAAGCCACAGTTAGGTTCCCCTAGCCATGCTGTCCCAAAAAATGTTCTTGCTCCCTGTGGTACCACACTCATCGGGTGTGTGATTGCCTCCTCACCCACAGCCACAGCAGGGGATCACATCTGGCCAGCACCTCTTGGGCTGGTCTCCAAAGCAGTGCGGATGTGAGCAGGGGGGCTGTCCTTCAATCTCTCCCCACTCAGCCATCTTCTGCTCCTTAGATGAAAGTTTGTGAGGTGAAAGTTCCTGAGGTGAAATTTTTTGTGAATGAGGTGAAAGTTGAAGCAAAGCTTCCCTGAGGCCTAGTCTGATTTCTGACAGAGCTACTCTCCAGGGCCTGCTGGTTATTGACCCAGCTGAGTTGGCCTGGAGGTGTCTGCACTTCATTCAGGCCAAACCTCAGCCCCTGGACGGGAGGTCCTATCTTTCTTCCTTTTTTTTTTTTTTTTT